AGGAGGACATAAGCACACATACATACTTTTTTCATTTTTATTTTATTTGGTTCTGTGGGTTGTATTTGTTTTGTTTCATGTATTCCTGATGCTTTGGCAATATAGTTCTCACAACATTCATGACAATAAAACAAATTTGAGTCAAATTGAATTTAATTGAATTGACTTGACTGGAGAGGAGAGGAGAGGAGATGACGGGAGAGCAAGAGAGAGGAAAAGAGAGAGGAGAATATAGGACCACAGGAGCTTGGCAAGGGAAGACAGGATGAGAAGAGAGCAGTGAAGGCCCTCCTGCCCAGTGCCCACACAAGTAATACAATGTAATAACATGTAACGCAATGCATTATCATTATGGTAAAAAGAAAAAAAAGGTATATATATATAAGAGAGAAATTTGGTCCCCCCCAATGTTGACTCCATGGTTTAGGCCTTGTTGTGCCCTATGAAACATGACAAGTGAAACTGTGAGTCACTCATTTAGTCATACAGGAAGTCAACCTGTTAACTGCTGAGACGTGTTTGACGTTAGAGCAGAGTGCAAACAAACAAAACTGATGTTCAGTTAGACCTGGAGTTATGGACCGACTGCAGTGTGTGCTGCTGTTGTTCTGCTTCTCTACCTGCTGGTATCCTCTTCAAACTCTTGAACAAGGTAGGCTACTATACTCAAGTCTGCTCATGAGACACCAGACACAACCATATAAGCAAACACAAGTCATTTTACTGATAGATACTTTGAATGTTTAATGTCCTGTGATGAAGGCAAACATATGAAGATCGAGCTATAAAATAAATGAACACTGATTTCACTATAACCTTGTAGGTTCTTGTCAAACTTGTCAGCATACATTTTTTAGGAAGTGTGAAACCATCAGAGAGCTACTTCCTTAGGACAGGACGTGTCTGTTGAAACATTACAAACTGCTGTGAGAACAGATTCTCTATTGATTTCATTAGCTGCTCTGCATTTTGCTGTACTTGCTGACTGGGGTGGTTTACCAGTGCCTCCATACTACACTCCTCATGAGGAGGCTGTTGCTGCAGAAGTGGACAGTCTGGCCCAGACTGAGGGAGTGGACTTTGTCCTAAGCCTGGGAGATCACTTTTACTATAGTGGTGTCAAGAATTTGGAAGACCCCCGCTTCAAGGTGAGCTCACAAAGCAAACACACTAAGGGGGGGAGACATGTTTTTGAATGATGAAGCTCAAACTGTAAAAGGCAACAGGAGGTAATGCGGGTCGTCCACTCACCAGAAGGTTGGTGGTTAGATCCCCATCTCCTCCAGTCTGCATGCCAACATCTGGGCAAGATCCTGAACCCCAAATTACCCCTGACACCTGTGCCCTTAGTGTATGAACAGTGTGATGGGAAAAGCACTGGACATAGTTCAGTTTGTTTTGAATGTTTTTAAAGGACAAAATAAAATTGTCAAAAAAAATATAAAATCAATTTCAGTAACATAAGTAGTATAAAAAACAAAACACCTGACAACATACATTTTCTGTAACATATATTAACATAACCATTTCATTTTCCATCCAAAAAGGAGTAGCAAGTGCTTAGAAGTGCTGCATGAATGTGTGTGTGACTGGGTGAATGTAACTTGTATTGTAAAGTCCTTTGTTAGATAAGACAAGAAAAGCTAAATAAATAGACAGTCAATTTACCAATTACAGATTGTTCTGTAAGAGTCTCAGGTTCCACAACCATAGCTGCTAACACGCAATGTTAGGATTAAATCTCAACATTGAGCTGTAGACATTTCTTTTGCTGTTGGTTTTGCTTTGTGTTCTTCAGGGATCAGTCTACAAGTCACTGCAATGTTAATACATGTTATATTTTTGTGACATGTTTTAGGATTAGTTTTACATTTGCCTCACAGTGTTAAGAATCATTTTATATCATAGACTCAACTAAATATGAGGATGGAAACAATGACATGTTTCTTGCATATTATAGAATTTTCTGATGTCCTAAGATGTGAGTCTTTCTGAAATCTATAAGCCACCTGCTACAATCTTCGTTTGATTGAATTGCAACATGGGAAAATGTAGATGCAGTAATTTTGTTGTAGTGGTGTTATATTCATCCCCTGTGCATTTGTTTTGTCTTCAAATGCTTTCAATGCTGGACAGCATGATTCCTGATCAAGCCTGGTGAATATGCTATTTATTTACTCCAGTGTATTTCCAATTTAAAGAAAAAAAATATGGTTTCCTATCCACAGCACACATTTGAAAGGGTCTTCTCTCAGCCATCTTTACTACATATCCCATGGTACCTGGTCGGTGGAAACCATGACCACAAGGGCAACATCTCAGCTCAGATGGCTTACTCTGATGTGTCCCAACGATGGTAAAGAATACAAATACAATACAGACATTCAATTCAATTCAATTTTATTTGTATAGCGCCAAATCATAATATACATTATCTCAAGGCACTTTACATAGAAGGTCAAGACTTTAAGATCAAAATATAGAGAAACCCAACAGTTCCCACAATGAGCAAGCACTTTGGCGACTGTGGAGAGTAAAAACTCCCTCATTAACAGGGAGAAACCTCAAGCAGAACCAGGCTCAATGTGGGCGGTCATCTGCCTCGACCGGTTGGGGTGAGTAGAGAAAACGGGGGAAGGAGATGAGAGATGGGTGGAAAATATGGGAGAGAAGAGAGAGGGATAGTGGGGAGGGGTAAGTAGGTGAGAGGGGGGCGAGAAAGACTGGGGACACTTGAGCGCCATCGGGTATCAGATCTGACTAGTTAAAATGTAAACAACAGTGTAAAGACTATTAATTATTATATTAACAGACACATTTGATATCATAATGAATTACTGCGATATTGTAATTAGTAATAGTAAAAGTTGTTGTCCTGAGGTTCTGGGGTCAGAGATATCTGAAATGAGAGAGACTATGGGAGTACAAAGTGAAATAGTCATTGAATTGTAATAAAATAAATAAATGAATGAAGTGGGGGGGCAGAGAGACAGAGAGAAGTGGATAGGTGCTCAGTGCATGATGGGAGTTCCCCCAGCAGTCTAGACCTATAGCAGCACAACTAAGTGATGGTTCAGGACCTGATCCAGAACTAACTATAGGCTTTATCAAAAAGGAACGTTTTAAGTTGAACTTTAAATGCTGAGATGGTGTCTGCCTCCTGAACCCAGAGAGGGAGCTGGTTCCACAGGAGAGGAGCCTGGTAGCTGAATGCTCTACCTCCTGTTCTACTCTTACAGACTCTTGGAACCACTAGAGAGCCTGTGTTTTGGGAACGAAGTGATCTATTTGGATAATGTGGTGTTATGAGCTCTTTGATATATGAAGGGGCTTGATTGTTGAGGGCTTTAAATGTGAGGAGCAGGATTTTGAAATCTATTCTGAATTTTACAGAGAGCCAATGTAGAGAAGCTATGACAGGAGTAATATGATCTCTCCATCTAGTTCCTGTCAGCACTCGTGCTGCAGCATTTTGGACCAACTGGAGACTTTTTACCGATTTCCTGGGACATCCTGATCCAGAACTATCTATAGGCTTTATCAAAAAGAACGTTTTAAGTTTAACTTTAAATGCTGAGATGGTGTCTGCCTCCTGAACCCAGAGTGGGAGCTGGTTCCACAGGAGAGGAGCCTGGTAGCTGAATGCTCTACCTCCTAATAAATGGTTTCAATAGAAACGTAACTAGGGATGAATGAAAAGTGTAAACATGAAGACAGATAAAGCATTTCTATTAATCCACATTAATTACATTTTTCATGTTTTCTTTTAAAATGTTCTGCAAACGTTGACCCACCCTTCTGTTCATCAGTCATCATCTAACATTTATTTTTTGGACTTGCTGGGCTGGCAGAAACCTGTATTAGCTAAAACAATACAAAAATAAAAACCTTTAGAGTACTTTGAGAAAACCTCCTGGAAGAAAACATGCATGCCTTTATTCCTCTTTAGACTGCATTTTAAAAAGAAATGACACAAAAATGACCCTGCTGCACAAAAATCTTACTTGTATGTCAAGGTGTCCATACTTTATATCTCCCTGCTGCACATTTTTTATGAAAATATCATCAGGTCTTTTTTTTTGTCTGCAGGAATTACCCTGGTCTCTATTATGACCTTAATTTTAATGTCCCACACACAAACATGTCAGTGAGCATACTGATGATTGACACAGTGGTGTTATGTGGAAACACCTATGAACAAACCCAGCCTACAGGACCAGAGGACTCCAGAGCAGCAGATCGCCAGTGGAACTGGATCACATCTAAACTGGCCAGCAGCAGGTGAGCCACTGTGTTCAAACCTTACATACAAGTCAACCAGCTTTCAATTATTCATTATTATGTTTTGATAGGAATTTAAGTGATGTTTCGAGAGCGAGTAACAAATCACATGAATGATGAACATAACAATAGAAAAAAACATTAAAAACAATACAAAACAAACACAATTTCAGATAATGGCAGTGCCTAGCAACCACCTCACCCCCAACCCCCAAGTGAATCTCCTTATATTATGCTAGGTGTTGTTTGGTCAAATAAAAAATTAAAAGAAAAAAAGTCTAATTTTTGCATTTTAGCAGGTGCTCTTAATAAAAATGTTCCTATCCACTGAAATATCCACACTTACATCACTGATATAAACATATACCTATTGAGATTTAATTAAAGTAAATGGAGAATTACAGGATTACCTCCACATTTGCTGTGGTTTGAGATACTGCTGCTAGTGCGACATCTAGTGGCAGTGAATATCGTTAATGAATATCATATGTACATAAACACTCTCAGAGGTGGGAAGTAGAACCTGTGGTGAACTTCAGCTGACATAAAAACTCAAAAGCTTTAGTTTGTCCAGTTTGGACGCGCTCCTGATGTAAATATGAAGTATTTAAATATAGCAGGGCCCATTCTGTTCAATCTGTACAATTTTGACGATTGCCCACTGGTGGATTATTTTATATTCAATTCTTGCCAATAGATCACTTTCTCCTAAGTCTTATACACTGGACCTTTTAAGAAAATACTTCATTCAATACATTGTACTCATTTTCTTGTGGACAGTTTTTCATGCTCAAAAATCTTTGCTTTAACCCTCCGCTTAAGTGAATTGTTTTTTACTTTATTTGAAGTAAGAGTAGTTCAGTTAAAGAAGTCAAAGTACATTTCAGAACCTGTACTTTTATACTTTTACTTGGTTAAAGAAGCCGAAACAGTAGTTAAACTTCAGCTCAAGTTATTTTTAATACAAGTATCTGTATCTCTACTTGAGTAAAG